CCCCAAAACCCCAAAACCCCAAAACCCCTAAAAGTCAATAAGAAATTGAAAGACCAAATTTCAACAACTCTGCATTTTTAACTAATTTTTGAGGGACATGTGGATATGTTTGGAGCTGGTGCCTTCATTCTGAGGATTTCCTCTAAAAGTGTCCTTCGTGTTCTCTGCGAAGAGTTCAGCTATTAATATATACAAAATTAAACCCACGATATGATCATTAAAATTTGAATCTAATAGAATCTTTTGTTTATCTAGTGATTTAAAATTTTTAGAATACTTTATGGCTTCCAAATCAGTTTGGCTGGTCATACAAGTATGTGATTGAATGTGTAGAATCCTTAAACTAACTTCAGAGACTTACTTCAGTGAGCTGGGACCAAAGCCTGTCAGCTGACCAAAGCTAACTCAGTTAGAAAATTGCTCCTTAGTAGTGTCTAGATTCTGAAGAAATATTGAAACCTATTTGCTCTGGATGGGTTTTCTTTTGATTTTTCATCATTCTTCTGAATCCTGACATTTCCTGGCTAAGAGCTAAGCACCTTCTTCATAATAGAGCTATGCCGGTGATGATCCACTGTGTCAATTCCTTCTTGAGTGTGTTCCAATCTACAGAATGAGCAGCTTAAGTTTTTTCTGGACCAACTTTCTGTTCATTAGATATGAAAGGTATGGCAACGTGCTAGTATTATCTTGATCTCTCTTTTTCCTCATACTCAATGAGACATATAGGACAAGTCTTGTCATATAAAGCTCATATATGATAGTCTTTATCTTGTTATTTGGATACCTTTAGGATGTGACGAGGAATGTAGATAAGGAGATTGGGTGGTGTCAAAGATTATAAGTTAGTTTATATTTCAGCCAGAGTCTTGTTACAAAAACAAAAAATCAGACTTTAATCGTTTTAATATTTAAGTTTAAGGAGCTTTTGCACTATAAAAACATCAAAAAAATTACTGCCCATTGCATTATAATGTTGCTGCTGTTACATTGGAATTTGGTGTCCCAATATAATGGTATCATTATTTCCTTCAAATAGTACTAAGAAATCATTCCCAAAACCTCCAGCCTACAGTGCTAGTCTCAATAAGGTTACAAAGAGAAAGCCTACTCAGATCATAATTAGGACACCAATGCTGTCTCTTCCAAGACTGGATTGTATACTAAAACTCAACCCGCTCGATCTATACAATAAGGATTATTCCTTCAAGCCATGACAAATCATAAGACATGAATTCTCTACTAAAATTTCAGTAACACCTATCCAGTTTGCTAACTACAAAGCTAGCCAGCATCTACAGCTTAGTGGGAGGACACAATTAAATATATATGTATAACACCTTATCTCAAGTGAAGCTCTGTCGAAGACTCACATGTAGAGGCTAGCCATTGAATGCAAGAAGATCACAATACAAAGTATGAGCTTATTAAACTATTTGTTAAGCATCTTGAACGTAAAGTCTGAGCTGGACTAGCTCAGATAAAGTAGAAATTTGTTCAGGGTTTGAGGAAGAGAAACAACATTTTTACCATAAAATCATAGATTTTTTTTCTGTGGTAGAATTAGTAGGAAAGAGAATATAATGAGCAATAAATCTTGTTCAAGGATGTACTACATTGGACAGATGCGCACCTCTTCCTTTGAAGTTGATGGTGCAATGAACCAGGTCAATCCATAGAGACAAAATAGGTCTATAAGAGAGATTAAAGTGCGAGGAGTATTATGTAAACTAAAATTTGCTTCTATCTCATTTTCAATAAATTATAAAATCATTGGGGTTTTGGGGTTTTGGGGTTTTGGGGTTTTGGGG